GGAACGGAGGTACAAATGAGGCAGCGACGATAAGTCTATATACTCGCACCATTGACGGCTCTACATCGTCTTGCATTATTTACGTCTGCTTACACACGTTGTTTACACTACTGGTTCTTTACAGCCAGCGATAAAATATATTTTACTTTGTGTGCGTGATAAAATATTTCCCTTCGTGATAAATTTCTTCGAACGCTCACGTGGCGTGAAATATAATTCAGACATGATCAAGCGAGATGTCTCCCTTCATTTTCGTGATTCTTTGCATGACGCCGCGTAACGAAAGTTCTTTATGCCAGCGTAATTTTCTTTCCCGAGTAAATTCCTTCCCACCACCTAGGGATTAAGCTTCCGTTGATAAACTGGCTCCCCGTACATGCATGCCTCCGCTTCTCAAGCGCAGAAACTTGTGACTTACGCGCGAAACAAACCAACGCGAAGAAAGCAAAAAGAGCGCAAGATACCCGGCCCGCGTTATTGTTACAATTGCGCGAGGGGAGAATAGCAGGAATTAGTTATCAAAAACCGCGCGAGTCTGCGAGAGCCAGCCGGAACTCCATTTTTGGCGGGGGATCCCGATGGAGAAAGAAACGATCCGGCGCAAAAGTCAGGACGCGAAGGTCCATTAATAACCGTCGATAGCTCGCCGTTGGAAACTGTCGGAGAAGTAATTGGAAAAGTTGCAGGCGAAACGACAGTGCTTTTCCATTAATCTACATTAACACCGCGCGAAATCTTGCTGTAGTTCGTCCGCGCCTGTTGCATTTAACGAAGGGACAGCTAAGGGTCCTGGTAAACACCCTCATAAGCAATTAAGCCGCTTAGAAACTCCACCGCTCATTTATTATCTCTGTCCTTTCTAAGCAAGCTCGCAAGCACTCTGATAAACGACGCCCCGGCGCTAAGAAGTCGTCGTCCTTCAAAGCAGCCCCTTAATTGCGCGTTAAGCATTTCGAAGTTCCGCTTAGAGCTTAGAGCGTCGCGTTGCACTACGGTGCTTTCGGAGAATAATTATGATTCGCAACGAGATTTGGAAAAGCCCGACACAAAGGCGGTGTTAACCCACTTTCCAGGAAACTCGGCAGAATTAGTGCCGAAGTGTCGAGGAAACTTAATACCAAATTTTGCGAGGAAGAAGATTATTCGTTTCACTTCGCGACTCGCTTGTTTCGAATCTTGTCACTCGAGCCGTCACACCTTGGAGATTTTAATTTGAACAATCTAACGTTTTCAAAGCGCTCAAATTTATAGATGTTTTATATCTCTGTATTTTTGCATAAATGTCTGCACTGAGATGAAAATACTTGAAAATTTGTAGGCTAAAACACTTTACTTCACAGAGATAGATTTTATATTTCACAAATAAATTTTCAAAGATTTTCCTCTCAGCGCGTGTCTTAAAGTATCCAAAATTTCCGATACTTACATCCACAATATCTGACACTTGAAGCTCGAGACATTTACAATTTTAAATATATAAAGTTTCATCGGACGGACCCGCTTTCGACCGTCTAAAAGTCCGTTTTTGCGCTCGAGTTTACATCGAATGCTTAGGCGAATGTTCCGCACTTCGCTGTCTTGAAACGTGCAAATGTCCGAAAGCCCGAATATCCAATACCAACTGTCCATATCCTCAGATATGGAGACGTCTTGAATTCTCGTCTCACGAGAGCAAGCAGAGGCTTCCGTCGAGCACTGTACACATACACACAAGTATACCGATATCGAGATGTCTCAGAGTCGGGCCGGGTGAGGGACGTTGCGGTAAAGGGTTGATACAGGGCAGTCCGAAGTTTGCCGACAGCTGGGGGAAGACGAGGGATGACCGGCGAACAATAGGGTGCGTCGCCGATGACGAACTCGGCCTGCTTCCAATCCCCGGAGTCGCTCGGGGGTTGCCGGAACAGCCGCAAACAAGGGGGTGGGCGAGTCAGCATTTCCACCGACCCGATCCCGCCGCCGCCATCCCCCTCTCTCACCCTCGTCGACTGTTATGTTCCGAACGGTTTACGCATTCCCGAGCGATGGGGTGCGAGGTGCGGGATATTTCTGCTTACGATTATAACGCGCGTGTTTCGCGATACTGGATATTCGACGTTTTGATAATACACCGCTACTTGCGGCGGGAAGGGAAGGGGCGCGCTGTGTTTGAAGCTTGGAATATTTGCACGGCGTATTACGACAAGAGGCGATTTTCCGCCAAGTGGAAGGAACAATTATACCGACTGCGCAGAAATGAGTTACGCGGAATAATTAATGAAATCGTGGAATTGTGAGATGCTGTGCGTTCTATGAGAATTTTGTCCGTACGGAGAATATTCCAAGTTAATTGTAAACTACGTCGATTAATTAGTGTTCTGCAAACATTTGTTGGATGCCTTATATAAGAAAAATTATCGAAGAACTCCTTTTACGAAGTAAAAATTCCGCAATTAATGGATGGAATAATTAGTGAATGGAATTTTTTTTTTAATGAGAATTTTACGGAAGGAGGAGACATTTTTCCAGACCGCATAAGAGTTTATTCGCTAAACGCCAGGCGAGACAGCGAAAATAATTAACGGTAATTCAAACCGACAGCATGGGAATAGCCGTGCGTTTAAATTTCCTTGCAGACTTTGTTTCGCTAAAAAAAAAAAAGGAGAAAAAGGAAAAACAGTTACAAGGGAAATCGTATTTTTTTTTTTAGTTCACGTATGTCTCGCTGCAGGCTGCAACGAAACATACGCGAAAAATGGCGGCGACAGCTGTCGACGTGCGAGTTTCGATGCCGTCGCAAAATTCTGTATCGTAGAACTCGGATATGAAGCGCGGCCCTCGCGGCGAAATTATTGCCGGGCGAAATCGTGTAACCGACAAATTTCATTACTGTCGTTCTGTTGAATTTTTACAACGGTGATTATAACGAATACAATATGATAATGTGTACGCATACGATAAACTTGTATAATTTGCAGCAGAAATTATAATAAATGGGAGGGGAGAATATGAAATACGCGCGCTTTTTTCCAGGATCCCTGAAGCTTTTAAACCGTCGAAATTTTATTTTCAGTTACTTTTACAACTCTAAAACGCCGAAAAAACCAGAGCGACGCTTTTGCCCTAAAAAAATAGCTCCAAACTGATAAAAAAAAGAAACATATACATATATATTCATGAATTTTCAAACCTTTTAACATTCTGCATACAAAATCTGACGCGGAAAATTGAAAACGCCAATCATCGCAAGAGAGAGAGAGAGAGAGAGAGAGAGAGAGAGAGAGAGAGAGAGAAAGAAAGAGAGAGAAAGAACGACAAGCAAGTGGAATGCAAGTTGTTTCTGGCTTCTCTGATGCGAAACAATGTTTAAATAAAATTTCTCTCGTCAAAGAATCGTGCGTTCAATAGCCCGAAACAATAAATAAAAACCGCTCTTCGGAAACGAGCGTTCTGCTTGAGGTCGAAGGACTGGGATACGTTGATGGCAAGAGGGAGAAAGGCGGGGCAGGGGGAAAAGGTGGAACGAGCTTCAAGAGTGCCATAATTTACGCTCCACTCGTTTCCTCCTCGTGTATACCTAACGTGTACGGATGAAGCATAAATTCACTCGCCATCCCTCCCTTGCCATCCCTTATATTCGCGATCCACCGCCAAGAGGAAACTTAGTGTTTAACCGCGCGAGAAGCGCCGCTGAATTTTCCGTTTTGGGGGATCCCAATAGCGAATGACAAGCGTTCCTTTCGAAACGGATATTAAACAGCGTTGGTCTTAACTCCTCCCTTCCGTCATATTTTCTCGCAAAACATATTTTTCGGAATTTACGAGAAATATAAACGGTATATAATAGCATGTAGTAATATTTAATAGGAGGAAATAATATATCATTAAGGATAACACATATGCGATATAAACATAGTAGTGCGAAATAAGTGGAATTATTCGCGAAATCGTTCGGAGAAATTCGATATTTAATATTTCTAAATTGAACGAAAAAAAAGGATAATAACCTCGAGCGAGATATTTCTGCAGATGTTTCGCGGTTGAGGATAATCCTGAAACCCACAGAGACACATTGTATCCTGTGGCGCTTCGTGAGCCAATAAAATTCTCGCTCGCTCTAATGAAATAACAAACGCGTTTCGAGCACGGCTCGATTCCTCGTGGGTGCGAAAGGAGGTTGCGGGCATAGGGGAATGATCACGGAGGGCAGGCGCGCCCCATAAAGCGACCCCTGCAAACCCTCCCCCCTGCGCGAGTTCGTTCGTACCGAGATACAGCACGTACGGCTCCTTGTCCAAGTAACCGCCCGCACCATCCTGAACCCAGCTCCCTCCTCCGTTTTTCTCCTTTTTCGTCCTTCAAGTCCGTTAGGTAGCGCAAAAGCCCGCTATTTATGAGCGATTCGCCCGCGGGGCTGGAACACACAATTCCCACCGATATACCGTCACACCCTCGCCTTTCTCGCCGCTTCTTCCTCGGACCGTCCCAATTTTTCTGCTCCATAACCTCTAACGAGTGCTGGTCTGAAGAGGGATCGTTTTTCATTGGTAACCACCAGTGGCTCCCCTCGGTTTTCTTATTTTATCGGTGCAATCGCGCCGCTACGGTAGGGGTGGTTCCCGCATGTTTCTCCTTGTCGGAACACGTCCGAAGAAACGCTTCTTTTGAATCGCGCGGTAGAGTCGCGCGGCTCCCGCCGATATTTGCTATTTGCTTGCGTCGAGTTCATTTTCTCGATACAAAGATCGGGCTCGAGATCGGAGCGAAGTAACCGAGGCATTTCTTTGAAACTCCGAGGAAAAGAAGTAAAAATGGAATTGAGAGGAAAGGTACAGGTCGAAATGTACAGGAAAAACGAAGTAATGTTTTTTTTGTAACGCGAAATATCGTTGATAACCTAAGAAAGAGCGATCCTCTCTGATACTCTCTTTTACAATATTAACAAATAATTACCGGTAGAATTATAATTGCAAGAGTCAGCAATGACGTAAGTCTGCAATTAATAACAATTAATTTTTCAGGAGCTGCGGCAGCGTCGCGAGTCTACGTCGACGCTTTATCCCGATTAGCTCGACAAGCTCAGCTGGGAACATGGGGCGGCTCCAAGGATGTGGGTGAGTGTGAAAAACTTAAAATCGATCAGCTCGCATCGCGGGGAGCACGAGCCGTAACTCACCGCAGTCCGTTTCACTAAACCGGGAACGAGAAATGAATAGGGAAACAATGATGAGCCCGTTTACATTTACACCGTACGTTCGCACGATTTATGTCACTGGCGTTATTTAATTTATTTGCCCTCACACATTTTCGAAGGGGATGCGGACTCTTATCGAACTCTCCCCTCAGTACCAAACGCATTGAAAGTGACGTTTCCTTCTCCCACGTCAATCTCACTTCTCGCAGTGTATTCCAATTTTTCTTTTTTCCGGAATATCTTCTCTTTCTGATATTTTTTTACATCCTTTTTATGTGTTTTGATAATCTTACGATGCTTGAAAAATATACGAACATATTACTTCGAAAATATCAGGGGCGTTGTTTCCTAGCTTTCTCTCGATTGATCGAGTTTTAGGATCGCGCTCTTTGATTTATTTCGGCCAAACAAAAGCGCAAATAAAACGGTTGCTCGCTCTCGCGAGACAGCCGGCCAAGTTTTGCATCGCTCCGGAAGCAAGTGAGCTTTTTCGAGGTTTCCAAAGCCAACAAAGCGCGTTTAACCGTTCCCTAAGCTCGAAAGCTTCCAGCCTGAACCTCCCCGACCTTTTCTCCCGAGTCCCGGCGCCGATGAGCGAAAGTTGCTAACAAGATCATTGCAGCGTGATAAGTGTACGTATTAAGTACAGGTCGGCGACCTGCGAACGGAGCTCGCGAGCTCGGCAACCTCTGAAAGCAGACTAAGGCGCGGTCTTAGGAAGCTTTCCAAGTGCCGACGACCGAGCGAACTTTTTATTTGTTCTCGAGGGGGAGACGGAATCCGATCAGAGACGGCTGGATTCTCGACCGCGATTTCGCAGCTTCCCTCAATTGATTATTACTTCTTCCGGTTCTGATCCGCGTTATTTTCGAAATAACGATCTTTCTTATTGCGCCCGCGCATCCTACTCGAAACCTCGTTCGTTTCTTCCTTTTACATCAAACGTCAGAATTGGATCAATAGAAATAATAGGTGACACGCGTGCGCGCGGCACGTCACTTTTTCGTCACTTGACGTCGTTAAACGTGCAATTAAATCGCGCGTAATCTCCTTCGAGTCATATCGTGATTGTCCTTTCGCGGGCGACGACGAGAGATTTCCGCGGAATATTTCGCGCGAATTTGTCCGCGAAGAGATAATTTTTCGCGGGAAAATTTACGGCGAATTGTGCCGCGCGATAATAATACATTAGCATGCGCGCGGCTCGCTGGAGTATCGTCGACGTGGAAACGGGAGATTCAATTAATCGAATTAATAAATTCACCAATCGAGTTATTTGCGACTCGGGGCCGTACGTGCGCTATGAAAATGCTCGTGGCCCTCGCTATTTCGAGCATAATTAATTAGCGCGCCGCCGAATTAGCTATTTTATTTTACAAATAACGCCCGACCCGGGCGCGGAGATGTTGTTTATCGCGTTCGCGCAGCCTGTTGCAATTTGTTATTTAATTGCTCGGACGTTTCCGCCGTCCCATTAATTATTTCACTCCTCGAATCTTCTCCGATTCCTCTTACTACGACGACGGCGAATGAAATTAATTCCCATTCTTTTCGCCGGTGATGATTAAGTTTTCCCTCGTTAAAGGCGCGAGACCTTTTCAGGACGCACAAGTCAAAAGGAAGTTTATGAGTGCTGGCGCGCGACACGTAACGTAAACTGAAACAAATGTAAAAAATGTAAACAAACAGCACGGTTTGTCGGGATAATAGATAATAATACCAGATAGAGTGCTTCGCTTAAAATTAGCGCAGATTTACGCGAAGCCATTGATAATTAGGTATAAAATTACTTGTAATTTTCAATCGTTTATTTGCATAATTCATACAATTCACATCAAATCTTAATATTCATTTTGATACGTTATGTATGTATATGTACATATATATGCAATCAAAATCGATTAATTGTATTATGATTAAATATTTAATTATCAAATGTGCATTATAAACTTGTTGTAGATAACAATTATTGAAATGGATGTTTTCGACGATTACTAAAACAGCACAAACTCGGAGAAATGCAATTTTGAATTTGCTATTTCAATCGTGCATCTTTTTTCTCTTTTCATTCGACACGGAAACACGCTCCATCCGGCATCGTCGAATTGTCCGGCCATTAAATTTATAATGACTGAATTTGCATATTGCATGAGCTTAATCGTAGTACAATCCGGCGATTTCGCCCCGGACACTCGTTGGAAGGGCACAACATTTTTCTTTTTATAATACGCGAAATAGGAAACAACACGCCACGGGATTAAAACGCCGGCGACTGTCTACGCGATGACTCGCAACGAATCATGAAGGGATTAAATGCTAAAATCATCGTTGCAAGATTAATCGGCGCGTTTTTCGACGTCGCGATGCGGAATCGTGAATTAAAATTCCACGGCGGCGTCCACAGCGGTCGGCTTGCAGCGGCGGCGGCGCCATCGGCCGTGTAAACGCGCTTTAATAATAATGTAAACGCGCAACGAATGGGAATTAACGCGCGCTCGCATCGCCGTGAAGCAAGAGAGAGAGAGAGAAAGTAGAGTAGAGAGAGGAGAGAGAGGGAGGGGGAGGGGGAGAGAGAGTGAGAGAGAGGAGAGAGAAGAGAGAGGGAGGGGAGGGGGAGAGAGAGAGTGAGAGAGAAGAGAGAAGAGAGGAGAGAGAGAGAGATAGAGAGATAGATAGAGAGAGAGAAAGATAGAGAGAGAGGGGGGAGGGAGGGGGGAGAGAAGGGCGGAGGGATAGAGGACCTGCTGAAATCCGCCCCTAAATTCCGGCCGCGTTCGTCAGCGTTCGTGAGAGTGAGGGAGGGAGCGAGAGACTGGTAACACGCATAATTGCATAAAATTACGTGGTCCCGTATTATCGGCGTCGCTTTAAACGGGCGCCGATTAACGGGCGACCTTGGCCAGTCCGGTGAATTCGTGAAATTTTGCTAGCGCGCACCTGACTCCTTGTTTCTGTGCGGATAGACCGGCGGCTTCCAGATATTCCCGAACGCGTCAATGTGCGACGATCCTGTTGCAACGCGCGCGCGTTTATAACGGCCGGGCTACGCCTCACGTTTTTAATTATCATTCTCACTGTGTGCCCGTATAAGATAAAAGTACATGCCAATGCTTGGACACTAATAATACCAGCTTTGGACATTCTTATTATTTTAGTTTTTAAATAGGAATATTTTTCACATAGAGAGTGAGAAAGAGAGAAAGAGAGAATGTATGTATAGATATTGTATAGTTAAAATATATATTATATAGTATATATTATATGATATATTATATTACAAAAAATTATATATTGTATAGCAAAAATTAAATGCTCATATTTACAGACCAAAAAATACGATATCCAGAATTAGATACCAGTGTTATTGATATTCAATATTGGTATTTTTACTTCATATCAAATGATTTATGGAAAAAAAAAGTTTGGTTAGATAAACCAATTTGTGAAGCCTGAACGACTGAGAAATTTCAGTTGAAGTTATCAGAGTTCTGATATCAGAGTTCTGTCCAAATTATCCAGATTTCTAGAAACTCAAACGGAATTCTACTAATTTCAATCGTAATTTTCTGCCTTGCTCACATTTTATCAGAAATTTCGTTAATCCAACCAAACATTATAAAAATTTAGTCTGAATTATCCAGATGCTTGATTAAGTTAGGCAGAATTCTTGAATCACTTATATTTAGTTGGATGAAATTAGTTCATCCAACTAAATTTTTCGTTCCTTGATGAAAGGAGGATCCGATGATCACGCAACACGCTACACACTTCGAGAAAATCAATTATGAGAGGTCAGCCAAGATTTTGATCGTGCTCGATAATACACGTAAAATTTCATCTCCCATCCAAGCTGGGATATCCAGCAGCCCCATCTCGCACTTATTATCCGCTTTTCGCGCGCCGGCTGTCGAGAGCGCAGTTCTTCCTGCAACTTTAATTCCGCGCCGGAAGTCTTCGCCGTGAGCGGCGTCGAGGAGTGCTCCGCAAACAGCGAGTCGAACAAACATCTCGTTAAACGCCTTCTTATCCTTCCCGCACGTCTTCACGATTATACATCGCGCGTCTCTCAAAACGGTGTTTCCGTCGGTGTGCTCGGAAAAAGGACTGGCGGCCTTATAATTAGTGCGCGGTATGTGCGACTGGACTTGCAATCTCAAAGGGCCTGAGGATTACGCGATAACACGTGACCCTCAGATACACGGATATAATAATGTATAAAATTTTTCATGAAAACTGCGCCGTGGAACGTTCCGACACATTTTCCACCGCGAGTTGTCGTGTTTCGGCGAAATTTTCCAGACGGATTTCGCGCACGTGAACGTTTCTACAGACGGCGGGAGGAAATCATCGCGGAAACGCATCGGTCTCGACCTTCGCGCGATTACGTCGATGGATATTCGCGCAGGAAGCACGGCCGACACTCGGGGAAATCTGTTTTCCTTAACTCTCCTCCCGCCTGCCGCCCGCCTGCCTGCCCTTAGCTCCTTTCCTAAACCGCCCTCTTATTCAGCCGCGAAAAGGGGGCCCGCGAAAATTCGCGGCTTACGATGTTAGCGCGAGGTGAAATGAAAATGCGACAGCGAAATTGCCAATATCGTCACCCCAGATTTTCCCCGCTCTCGCCTACTTTCTCTCCCGTCTTCCCTCCCGTCCTTACGACAGCGGAAGATCGAGGGGTTTTGGTCGAGTTTTCCTTCTCGTCCGGAAGTTAGTCGGATATGGCGGGGTGACACGGAAATTTCACGGCGCGAAATTTCTAGACATAATTTCGCTATGATAATTATGTTTTGTAATAACCTGCGATAATGTATAGGGTGCCTGACAATTATTGACCCACCCGTTATGTGTAGATAGAACTCGTCGAGTTGAACACGAAATTCCTCCACTATTTCGCAAATAACCGCGTAAAATTTGGAATTA